ACACACACACACACACACACACACACACACACACACACACACACACACACGTGTGTGTGTGAGAGAGAGAGAGAGAGAGTGACTTGTGCGTGTATACATATGTGAGGCAGCGTTTTTAAATCAGGCTATCGTCAATATAATTATAATCAAAGTGAAGAAACTAGCTTTTTCCCCCAGGTTTGTTAATTTTTATCGATTTTTGTTTTATCTCATCATCATCATCATCCAGTGCCAGATCTGCGACAGACATCGGCAATCATGGTTTTCTATTCATTCCTTTGCTCGGATGCTCTAAAAAAAATCCACGTTTCCCTGATCTTTCCCTGTTACCCATTTGTTTAGGTTCCCCAAGTATGATGTTCTGGGCCTTTTCCTGCCTCGCTTGCCCTCAATTTTGCCATTGAGACCCTTATGTCTATTTATGTGTCCCCAAAACTGCATTTGTCGTTTCCTGATTTTTTTAACATTGAGCGTCCCACGAGGGCTTCATCAAGCACTACCTCATTTGATTTCTTTTCCTTCCACGATACTCTTAGCAGTCTCCTAAGAAACTACATTTCTGTTGCTTCTATTTCATTTTCACTGTCTTTAGTGATTGTCCAGCATTCAAAGCCATATAGAAGGGTTCACCAAACATAGCATTTCAGAACTTTCATTTTGGTGTCCATTGAGATGTTTCTATTTTTCAGGATGGGGCTCATTTTATTGAAACCAGCCTTAGCCATAGTAATTCTCCGTCTTATTTCTGTGGAACATTTGGCACCAGATGTTATCATATATCCTAGATATTTAAACGGTTGTACTTGTTTGATCTTTTCACCTTTGCTAATGAGATTAAAACAAAGCTTCGCTGCTTTTTTTGGATATTGAAATGCTTTCTGTTTTCTTTACATTCAACACTAATCCTTTAAGTTCACTTTCTGTTACAACAGTATCTAGAAGCAATTGGAGGTCCTTTTCTGAGCCTGCTATTAAAACTGTGCCATCTGCATACCTGATGTTATTAATCTTTTCTCCATTTACTTTGAGACCTGGACATTCTTCTAGGGTTCTAAGGATTGTTTCATTGTACATGTTAAAGAGGTCTGGGGACATAACACACCATTGCCTCACTCCTCGCTTAATCTGCTTATATTCACTGTATTCTCCATTAATTCGTACAGCAGCGTTTTGGTCCCAGTACAAATTCCTGATAATTCTTAGAATCTTTTCCATCTATGTCTAGCTTTTCCAGTATGTTAAATAGCTCATCATGTCTAACTTTATCGAACACCTTTGAATAATCTAAGAAGCATAAATATAGATCTTTCTTTGCTTCAATACATCTTTCTATTAACATTTTTAACGTGAATATAGCATTTCTGGTGCCCTTGTCAGGAACAAAGCCGAACTGCGTTTTAGATACCTCTGGTTTTACACTTTTTCTCAATCTTCCCATTATTACTCGCAGCAATATTTTATCTCAATGTTGATTAAAAGTACCAAAAAAATAAATTTACAGTTTCTCCGGATTCTCAGGCTAAGGAAAAAACTATTCTTTGGCGGCCATTTTCTGGCTAATCTTACTTATGAAACCATGTGACCCCGACCTCCTTTATTCGCAAATATCTCGATGTGCATACAGGATAAATGGATATATTTTTCCATCCAAAGCAGTACAAAAGAACTTGCTTTAAGATGATACCAATAACTCTAAATGCCAAAAAATTGACTAGAGCTTGATTCCACCACGTCGTAACACACACACACACA